TCTATTTGCTAAATCTGACAGTCCTGAATAGGAGTGAAAGTAACAGGCTCTACTCCCAGGTATGGTCCATGCAAACCTTCTGTGTGTTCTCCTCCTCGTCTTTCTCCATTAAACCTGGCTCGATGGAGACAATATTCAGGAAAACTTCATAAGTCATATATTTGAAGATGGAAGGACCACTATCAATCAGTTTGGGTTTCTTCCGGAATGGGATCCTTTAGTTTGGTGCATTCATGACTACATGAAGGAGAGTCACCCACTAACTCATTCACTCTCTCTGTTCTGTTATATGAGCAAGAAAGAAACATCTACTGTATCTGAGCGATAAGTGTTGGATTCTGTTTTCTTCAGCAGCTAGCCTACCCAGCTGATACATTTAGTATATGACAATAACCACGTGTGCAAACCAGCAATTAATCTTCCCTACAACTTCCTCAAGCTGGTATTGTCCTTGTTTTATCCATGGGGTTAATAAGACCCAGAAATATTAAACAACTCACCAATTTATCAATTGATTTGTTATCAATTATCAATTTATCATTGATTTATTCTAAATATAATTATAAAACAGGTTACTTTTGGAGATTATTTGTGATTATTTGTGAATTTGAATAATAAATATTCCTTATAATCTGTAAGTCTTCACATTTAAGTGAGCCTCAAATTTTATTTTTAAATTAATTATTTGATCTGAGAGGACCATTCAAAAGATTCAAAAGGGAATACATTTAAAAATCAATCTCACTGTTACCCCCATTACCCAGCCAACCAACTTTCTATCTAGGAAGTGACATTTCTGGTGTGTGTGTATGTGTATTTTCATATATATAAACATTACATACACACACACACGCACTCTTCTGTTTCAACACAAATGGTTGTATCCTATTGTGGAAATAATGAAAAAAATCCCACTATATTAGATAAAACAGAAGCTATTTATTCAGAGCTTGGAAATCGGTCACCATCATTGTGTTTGACAGAAACTCAAAGGCAGGCAGGGCAGTGAGAAAACTTTATAGTGAAAAGAGGACAAGCCTTCAGGTGTGCTCTGAATGGAGGCTGTTGACATGAGAAAGTTGGAGGTGAGGTAACTAGAGGCTAGGGTATCATCTGTGATTGGTTTAGAGAGCATATTTGACCTACTCTGGTTGGTCCTAAGTTGGAAGTCAGGATGAAAGTCTGGAAAAGCTGGTAGTCATTGACCAAGCTATGACTGTTCTAGAACTATTGCTACAGAAATTATGGTTTGGCTTCCTGGGATGAAGGTTTTAATTAGATGAAGAGTTTTAATTGTCATATGTAGTCTGGCCACTGTCTACTTGTATATTCAGTATCTCGCTATGCATATTATCTGGATGTTGATTTTTAAAAATTTTCATTCAGCAGTAATATTGAGCTTGTTGGTGTCTAATTCTATGAATTTTAATACAAGGATTGATTCATGTAACTATTATCTCAATCAGGATACGGATCAGTTCTATCACCCAGACACACTCCCTCTTGCTAGTATAAACAAACTATTACTGAATTTTCTAGCTCAGCTACCTACTGAATCTGTTATACCATATGATGTCAGTATCAATTTATTTCAATTCAGCAATGAACATATTTTTCTATCTGATTACATAGTTGTGATAAATGAAAAACCTGTTACTAAATAGTACCAAATAGAGACGTTGTGACTCTGGAAGCTTGGGAGGAGAAGAAGCTCTCGTGGTCACTATAAAGTTGTAAGGAGGGATGGATATGTAATCTGAAGAGAATCAAGTGCCTTCAAATATACATTTCATTGCATGGGTATAAATATATCTGTGTGATTCTGTTTATTTTGCAATGATATCAGAACTCTGTGTCATGCCTTGCACTAATGATGGCATATGGAAATTAAGGTAACATTTTTACCTTCTACAATTTACATTACTGGAGAAGCTTACCAACCAACCAAGTAACCACCCAAACAAACATTGTGTTCAATGCTATGACAGACACATGAAAACAGTGTACTGAATCTAGAAGGTGGGCACAGGTGGAGCAGGGAAGACTTTATCTAAACCAAGGAGATCCCTCTCTCTCATCTCCTCATAGCAACTATAATTTGGCAATCATCCATAGATAAAAGTGCCATTGTGGGAGCTTTGAAAGTCAGATAGGAGATTGTAAAACCTCCATGGAGCCCAAGACAGAGGAGGGCTGTCCAACTGTGGTTCTGGCTATCACTAGATATGTCCTTGTCCCCCTGTAGACTCAGCGACATCCTTGTCAGGCCTTGGTCTTATCACTAGAATCATGTGACAAAGGCTCTGGGAAATGTCACACCCACCTGTGCCAAGGGAGACAGCCCCCCGACCTCATTCCTGGCTGTAGATCCTGAAGTAGCCCTGTAATTTGGCTCCAGCTCCTCTCAGGAGTGATCTGAGAGCAATCCTGTCCACAGGGACCTGTTGAGAAACACTCCTGCTCATTGGCCCAGGGACAGGCCAGCCCCCCTTGATTCCACTGTAAGTCTTGAAGTGATCTTCCAACCTAGCTCCATCTTCTTTCAGCTATACTCCAGGAGCAGTCCTGCCCACTCAGTGACCCTCTGGGTGACATGCCCATCTGTGCCTCCAGAGTCAGGCCTGCTGAATTTGGTCTGACAGTATATCTTGAAGCAGCCTTATTTTTCAGCTTCAGTCGTATTTTGCCTCAGTCCAGGGAGTGTTCTGCCTTCCAAGGAACCTGGCAAGAGGCATGCCCATTCATGTCCCTGGAAGTAGGCCTGCCGACTCTAGTCTCAGTTGTGGACCCTGATGCAGCCCTGTGACTCAATTCCAACCCCTCTCAGTCTGGAGCCAGTCCTGCCTGCCCAGAGATCTACCCAGTGACCCAGTAGGAGACCTTCCAGTGACTTGGAGGAAGCCACATTTATCCACAGTAACAGGTCTTTCAGCTGTGGACTCCACTGGAGAACAGGCTAAAGTGCTATTTGATCATGATCCTAAAGGCAATACCATCACATGAGGACCCACCAGGAGAAAGTTTTTACCTGTTGAAATCAGTTCTATAAAGACTGAAAGAGATAATTGTTCCTTCAAATGTACAGACACCAAAACAAGGCTACATTGTACAATCCAGAATCAGGCAAGCATGACACCACCAAAGGAAACTAATAGACCTTGCACAACCAACCCCAAGGAAATGGTTAACTATTAGTTGGATGAAAAATAATTCAAAGTAGTCATGTTAAGGAAGCTAACTGAGATGCAAGAGAACACAGATAGAAAACAAAATCAGGGAAACAATGCATTAATAAAATGAGTAGTTTAATAAAGAAATAAAAAGTATGAAAACAACCAAACAGAAATCTTGAAGCAGAATGATAAAATGACAGACTAAAAAATACAATACAGATCTTTAGTAGCATGGTCAATCTTGCAGAAGAAAGAACCAGCGAACTCAAGGCAGGACATTTGAAATTAGCCAATTAGAGAAACAAAAAGAAAAAAATAAAGTGAAGAAGGCATAAGAGTCCTATGAGACACCTTTAAGTGAATAAATTATGAGTTTTGGGAATTTGAGAAGGAGAGAGAGAAAGGGGCAGAAATATTATTTAAAGCTACAAACTTCCCAAATTTTGGAAGAGATATGGATATTCAGATACATAAAGCTTAAAGAACCCAAGCCAAGCAAGATCAACCTAAAGAATAATACCCCAAGGCACAGTATAATTAAATTGTCAAAAGTGAAAGCCAGAAAAAGTTTGAAAGCATCAAGAGAAGAGATCATCATACACAATGGAACCCCCATAAGTCTATCAGTGAACTTCTTAGCAGAAATTTTACAGGCCAGAAGGGAGTGGGTTGATATATTCAAAGTGCCAAAAGACTCAAACTAACTGCTAAGAATATATATCTGGAAAACCTGTCATTTAGAAATAAAGGTGAGATAAAGATATTTCCAGATAAACAAGAGCTAAGGGATTTCATCACTACTAGATTTGACTTACAAAAATAATAGTCTTTTTTCAAGTTGAAATGAAAGTTTGCTAAGTAACAACATGAAACACATGAAAGTGGCAAATTTACTGGTAAGGGTAAATATATAGTTAAAATCAGAATATTCTGATGCTGTAATGATGTTATGTAAGTCACTTTTAACTCTAGAATACAAGTTAAAAGGTCAAAGTTTTAAAACTAACTATAGTTCCAATAATTTTTAATGGATACACAATATAAAAAGATGCAAAGTGGGACATCGATAGCATAAAATGTGTGAGGGAGAAGAAAAACTGAAGAGCTTTAAATGCAGTTGAATTCAAGGTGTTATCAGTTTTAAACAGAATGTTATAAGATGTTTTATGTAAGGCCTATGCTAATTACAAAGAAAAAGAAACTCTGGTGGATACACAAAGGACAGAAAGAAATGAAAGCATACCACCACAAAATGTCAACAAATCATAAGGGAAGATAGCAAGAGTGAAAGAAAGAAACAAAGACATTACAAAACAGTCAGAAAACAATTACAAATGACAATAATAAATTATTTACCATCAATAATTACATTAAATGCAAATAAATTATTTAATCAGAAGACACAGAGTGATTACATGGATTAAAAAGCAAGCTCCAACAACATACTGCCTACAAGCAACTCATGTTAGTCTTAAGGACACAAATAGGATGATAGCAAAGGGATAGAAAAAAAATATTTCATACAAATAAAAACCAAGAGAGCAGGGGTATCTATTCTTGTATAATACAAAATAGACTTTAAATCAAAAACTGTCATAAGAGACAAAGAAGGTCATTATATAATGATGGAGGCATCAATTTATTAAAAGGATACAATGGTAAACATGTACACCCAACAGGAAAACACTTAAGTATATCAAGAAAATATTAACATAACTAAAGGAAGAAATAGACAATAGTTAGAATACAATAATAGTAGCAGATGTCAACATCCCACTTTCAACAATGAATGTATCATACAGACAGAAAATCCATAAGGAAATGTCAGTGCTCACTTTGGCAGCACACACACTAAAATTGGAATGATACAGAGATTAGCATGGACCCTGCACAAAGATGACATGCAAACTGGTGAAGCATTTCATATTTTTTTTATTATCAGAGCAAAGCAAATCAAAACTACAGTGAAATAATATCTCACCCCAGTTAAAATGGATTATACCCAAAAGATGGGCAATAACACATGCTGTCAAGAATGTGGAGAAAAGGGAACCACTGTACACTATTGGTGGGAAAGTAAATTACCACAACCACTATGAAGAATATTTCAGAGGTTCGTTAAAAAACTAAAAATAGAGATATTGTACTATCCAGTCATCCCACTGCTGGGTATATACCCCAAAAAAGGAAATCAAGATATCGAAGAGATATCTGCACTCCCAAGTTTGTTGTAGCTCTGTTCACAGTAGCCAAGAATTGGAAGTGACCTAAGTGTCCATCAACAGATGAATGGATAAGGAAAATGTGGTACTTATACACAATGGAGTACTATTCAGCCATAAAAAGAATGAGATTCACTCATTTGCAACAGCGTAGATGTAACTAGAGGATATTATGTTAAATGAAACAAGCCAGGGACAGAAAAACATATTCTGCATGTTCTCACTTGTTTGTGAGATCTGAAAATCAAAACAATTGAATCCATGAAGATAGATAGTAGAAGGATGATTACCAGAGGCTGAGAAGGGAAGTTGCGGGGTGTTGTATATGTGGGAGGAGGGTATGGTTAATGGGTATGAAAGTTAAAATTAGTAAATAAGGCCTAGTGTCATATAGCATAATAGGGTGACTATAGTCAATAATAATTTAATTGTATATTATCAAATAACTAAAAGATGCCAGGTGCAGTGTCTCATGCCTGTAATCCCAGCACTTTGGGAGGCTGAGGCTGGCACATCACTTGAGGTCAGGAGTTTGAGACCAGCCTGGCCAACATGGCAAAATCCCGTCTCTGTTAAAAGTACAAAAATTAGCTGGGGATGGTGGCATACGCCTGTAGTCCCAGCTACTCGGGAGGCTGAGGCAGGCGGATCACTTGAACCCAGGAGATGGAGGTTGCAATGAGCTGAGATTGCACCACTGCACTCCAGCCTAGGCAACAGAGTGAGACTCTGTCTCAAAAAATTAATTAAATAACTCAAAGAGTATAATTGGATTGTTTGTAACACAAAGAATGCTTGAGGGGATGGATACCCCATCTTCCATGATGTTATTATTGTGCAATTCTTTAAGTGCCTATATAAAAACATTTCATTTATCCCTTAAATATATGCACCTACTATGTATTCATAAAAATTAAAAAAACCCAAATTATGATGAAAATAAAAATAAAATATAAGGAAGCAGCAGACTTGAATTAACGATACAGGCTAAATGGGCCTAACAGACATACACAGAACATTCCATCTAATAGTGGCAGAGTACACATTCTTTTCAAGCACACATGAAAAAACTGTCCAGGATAGAGATCATCTGTTGGGACACAAAACAAATCTTAAAAATATAAGATTAAAATCATGTCTAGTATTTTTTCTATCCACAATGGTATGAAACTAGAAATAAACAACAAAGAATCTTAGAACATTGACCAATATGTGGAAATTATGTAATGCACTCTTGAACAACCAATGGGTCAAAGAAGAAATCAAAAGGGAAACAAAAATTATCTTGAGACAAATTAAGAGGGAACCACAACATATCAAAACTTATGAGAAAGGTGCAAAAATAAAAAAAAATACTAGCAAGCTGTCTTCAACAGCATATTAAAAAGATCAAATGCCGTAATCAAGTGGCATTCATCGCTAGGGTGTAAGGATGTTTCAATATATGCAAATTGATCAATGTGACAGTATATAAACAGAACAAATTTTAAAAATCATATAATTATCTCAATAAATGCAGAATAAGTATTTGACAAAACTCAACATCTTTTTTTTTTAATGATAAAAACCCTCAACAAATTAGGTGTAGAAAGACTGTACTTCACATAAGAAAGGTCATATATGACAAGCCCTCAGCTAACATCATGGTCAATGGTGAAAACTGAAAAGCTTTTCCTCTAAGATCAGGAACAAGACAAGGATGTCCAATCTCAGAACTTCTCTTCAACATAGTATTGGAAGTCTTAGCCAGAGCTAGCCTATAAAAGAAAAAAGAAATAAAAGGCATCCAAATCAGAAAGGAAAAAAGCTAAATTATCTCTGTTTAAGATAGCATAATTGTACATACAGAAAACCCTAAAGACTCTACCAAAGCCTGTTAGAATTGATAAACAAATTTAGTAAAGTAGCAGAATACAAAATCAATATACAAATATCAGTTGCATTTCTATACCCTAACAACACACTGTCCAAAAAAAGAAATTAAGATAATTCAATTTTCAATAGAATTAAAAGCAATAAGATACTTAGGAATAAGTTTAACCAAAGAAGTGAAATATATATAATATATACACTGAAAATATATACACTGAAAACTATTACATTGATGAAAGAAATTGAAGAAGTCACAAATAAATGAAAAGATATCCTTCATTCATGGAGTGGAAGAAGTAATATTATTAAAATGTGCATACTAAAAGGAACCCACAAATTCAATTTAATACCTATAAAAATTCTGGTAAAATTTTTCACAGAAATAGAAAAAAACAATTCTGAAATTCATATGGAATCACAAAAGGCCATGAATAGCCAAAGTAGTCTTAAGAAGAGCAAAGCTGAAAGGTATCACACTACTTGATTTCAAAATCTACGAAGGCATAGTAATAAAAAAGTATGTCGCTGGCATGAAAATAAATACACAGAATAATGAATAAGCCCAGAAATTAACTCACATATACACATCATATGTGTGAGTTATAATATATATAATATAATCTTTGACAAGAGTGCCAGTAATGCACAATGTGGAAAGGATAGTTTCTTCAATAAGTGGCATTGTGAAAAGTGGATATTGACATGTAAAAGAGTGAAATTGGATCCTTATCTTACACCATATACAAAAATTTACCAGAAATGGATTAAAGACTTAAACATAAGACCTGAAACTGTAAAACTTCTAGAAGAAAACATGGGAAAATCTCTTTGGCATTGATCTTGGCAATGATTTTTTTGGATATAACACCCAAAGCACAGGCAACAATCACAAAGATAAACAAATGGGAGCACATCAAACTGAAAAGCTTCTGCATAGCAAATGAAATAATAAACAAAATGAAAAGGCAATCTACAGATTGGGAGAAAATATTTGCACACTATCTGACCTATTAGCCTCTTATCTGTTCAGAGGTTAACATCCAAAATATGTAAAGAATTCATACAACTCAATAACAAAAAAGATAACCTAGTTAAAAAATTGCTGGCCGGGTGCAGTGGCTCACTCCTATAATCCCAGCACTTTGGGAGGCCAAAGCAGGTGGGTCACTTGAGGTCAGGAGTTGGAGACCAGCCTGACCAACATGGCAAAACTCTGTTTGTACTACAAATCCAAAATTAGCTGGGTGTGTTGGGGGGTGCCTGTAATCCCAGCTACTCCAGAGGCTGAGGCAGGAGAATCACTTGAGCTCAGGGGGCAGAGGTTTCAGTGAGCCAAGATCATGCCACTGCACTCCAGCCGGGGCAACAAAAGTGAAATGTCGTGTCAATAGTAATAGTAATAATAATAATAATAATAATAATAATAATAAATGATAAAAAATTGCCAAAGGACCAGAATAGACATTTTTACAAGGAAGACATACAAATGACCAAGAAGTATGTGAAAAGTTACTCAATGTCACTAATATTCAGGCAAATGCATGTCAAAACCACAGCGAGATTTCACCTTACACTTGTTAGAATGTCTATTTAAAAAAAAAAAAAAAGTTGGGGGGCAAGGAGTGCTGCTGAGGGTGTAGAGAAAGGGAGCCCTTGTACACTGTTGGTGGGAATGTAAATTAGTACAGCCATTATGGAAAACAGTATTCCTCAAAAAATTAAAATAAGAACTAATCTTAGGATCCAAGAATCCTTCTTTTAAGTATACATCCAAAGGAAATAAAATCAGTATCCGAAAGAGATACATACCCTCCATGTTTATTGCAGCATTATTCACAATAGCTGAGTAATGGAAACAACTTAAGTGTTCGTGAATTGGTGAATGGATAAGGAAAATGCTGTATATATCGTGGAACACGATTTAGCCTTAAAAAGAAGTCCTGACATTTTGACAATATGAATCAATTTCAAGGATGTTATACTACATGAAATAAGCCAGATACAGAAAGACAAACACTGCATGATCTTACTTAAATGTAGAATCTAAAACATTTGAACTAATAGAAGCAGAGAATAGAATGGTGGTTACCAGGGGATGCAGGGTGAGGAAAATGGGGAGATGTTTATAGAATCCAAATTTTCAGTTATAAGATGTATAAACTTTGGGGACCTAATGTATAGCATGGTGACTGTATTGTTTACTTGAAATGTTCTAATAGAGCAGATCTTAAGTGTCTTTATCGCCTTTCACCCACAAGTGGCAAATATGTGTGTTGAAAGATGTATTATTTAGTTTGATTGTGGTAATCATTACATAGTGTATACATATATGAAATGTATATCTTGAATATATGCAAATTTTATCACTTATACCTCACCAAAGCTAAAACACAATAAAGTTGTAGAAACAAATAGAATTTTGCCAAAGAGAAAAGTGGTGTGTGGAGAAAGATGTGCAAAGGATACCAGGAGAGGAAGTGTAGAATGTTCAACACAAAGCATAGAGTGAACAGGACTATCAGGCAGTATGTTAGGTGTTTTGCTAATTCATATTCAGGATGCCTTTTCCCCATTGAAGGCCTTAGTGATTTCAAACAGAAGATCATCATAACCATTGTGAAGTCATCCCTGACTTACCCAGGCAGAATTAGGGATGCCTTTTCCTGTGCCCTCACTGAATGTTGTACAAACCTTTTCTATAGCAACTATCTTACAGGGTTGTCTTTGTAACCAGAAGGCAGAAGAGCTCATGGGAATTGATATCAGACAGACAAGGGTTCAAATGCCCATTCCGGCATCCAGTAACCTTTGTTTCCTTGGGCAAACCACTTAATCTG